AGAATGTGGCTGTGTTGATGGTTTGGTGCTTGTGGAGGATTTAGCAGAACATAGCTGTGCTGATTGAGGGGATTGATGCTTGTGGGGGGTTCACAGACAGTATCAGGAGAGGATGCTTTTAGTGCATGTGATAATACATTACATAGAAGGTTGCGCGGTGGCACAGTGAGTACCACTGTCACCTCACAGCAAGAAGGTTGCTGGTTCGAGCCCCGACTGGGTTCTCCCCATGTTGGCGTGGGTTTCCTCCGGGTGCTCCGGTTTCCCCCACAGTCCAAACACATGCAATACAGGTGAATTGGGTAAGCTAAATTGACCCTATTGTATGTGTGTGAAAGAGAGTGTATGGATGTTTCCCAGTGCTGGGTAGCAGCTGGAAGGGCAGCCACTGCGTAAATCATAAGCTGGATAAATTGGTGGTTCATTCCACTGTGGCAACCCCAGATTGATTAAGGGACTTAGCCGAAAAGAAATGAATGATTATGGATAGAAGATGTTGACAGATGTTTAATATCTCTGCCTCTGCCGATTTCACTTTTGCACACATTATACAGTATCAGTTTGTTTTATCTGCAGCTCCACTGACTGTAAAATTCTTCCACAAAGAACATGAAGTTTTTTTTTTTGACTGGTGGAGGACCAAATGGCTCAGCAGCACTCTCACTCTTTTTCTATTCGGGTGCCCAAATGTATTTGAGGAGTTTCAAGTTAATGAAAAGTGACGGGAAGCTATGCTAAGGTTAACTAGCCTATAGCATATATCTTGCTGTCTGCAAAAGACAGTAATGTAGACGTACCATATAACTCCCATAAGTGCATACTATTCGACACAACTGCACAAGCATCGTTTTAACCTTTATAAACGAACGTTAATGTTACTCTGTCAACAGACTATTGTCTAAATTACCGCGCTAACAGAACTAACGTTGCGTAAACAGAGCACCCGGTTGCAAACTTCCCGATCCCGATCAAACTCCGCTACAAGTTTATAAACTGCATCTGGAACCCAATTAAGGTACAAACATCTATTTAACAAAAATAGTGATGCAGTAAAGTATTTTTTCGCTCAGCCGAGCCTTCTCTGTCTGTATCTGTGGAGAAGATTGTGCCGGACACCTCCGCCCCGCCCTCCGACTGAGCGTCTCTCTGTCTCTCTCTCTCTCTCTCTTTCTCACGCGGGCATGCACTGTGGTCTCATGAGGAAACGCTGCTTTTTGATAGTGTTTTTCTTGCTCCCGAATACAAATAATTTTTCAAGTATTTGTTCGAAATAAGTATTCGTAAAAACAAGCTATTCGTGCCTTTCCGAATACCGTATTCGGGTTCGGCTCCACCCTTAATATATACAAAATTTGTGGTGGTCCATTCCTTACAACTTAATCCACCCAAAATCCATCACTAGCCTGACCCGTATCCCACCTCAATAGCAGCAAAAGTGTTCTGTAATACACAATGAACACATTAAGTACATTGCATATTTTATTTTATTTTATTGTTGATGTCTATTAGTTAGGGACACTTAATATAAAGTGTGAGTAACTAATCCAAATGGATTGAACACAAAAACAGTTCAGTAGTGGATTGAAGGGAGACTTGTTTTCAGGAGATAAGAGAAAGTCTCCATTTCAAGGTCTGCAGTGTCTCTGGACGATGTTGTGAAGCAGTAATTTTCCATGGCTGTTGGTTCTGCTGTATTAACACTTGCTGGACGTGAGAAACAGACATTTTCTGACAGGATCTGGAGTTCGGGCTAGGAAAAGTGTTAAACCAACAGCTGTGAAACCAGAGTTTAACACTAAATCAGCAGTTTCACAGGAAGCCTAATAATTTTGCCTTTGAATACACATTCATTTCAGCAGGATTTTATCAGTGTATTTGCATGTTGAATCACTGTATCTTCATGCATTCATCATTTTTGCACAGGGAAATGTTTCAGTCAGGTCTTCATTGTTATGTGTTTTCTGTTATTTCACATGGGAGCTTGATCTTTCTTTCAGCAACACTGTAAACCCCACTGCTGTCATTACACTGAACAAAAATATTCAAAGATGATTCCTTGGATTTACTCATTTTTTAAGTGGCTGTAAACATTTTATTTTTATTTAAACAAATTAAGTTGGACATTACTAAATTTAACCTATTTGTTTAAATTCAGCCCATGTCAATTGTTTGCATCAATTTTGCAGACATCATTTTTTCCCAGTGTACTAAAAATATTAAGTTAATGTAACTTGACATTACTTAAAATACCAAGTTTTGGCATCAACACTTAAACAGGTGTGTTTAACTTGCTCATGAGTAGGCCCACACGGAATCTGCGCACGCAGAATTCCGCAGATTTTCCGCAGATTTCTGCAGATTTTTAGCCCAGTATTAATTCTGTTTATTTGCTTGAGTAAATGTGTAAATCTGAATTTATTCAGTAATTTAATACTTTTTATTTAATATATTAAGGTTTTAGTTATGATACTCCGCTGGATACTCCCAAAATAATTCAGCAGAAATACGCAGATTTTTACCAAAATTCTCCACAGAAATAGCAAAAAACGTCCGTAGATTCCGTCTGGCCCTGCTCATGAGGCAGCAAAAACACTTTAAATTAATATTTTAGGTTCTCTGAACTTAACATTTTAATGTCTTTAATCAATTCACCATGTCTTTGTTTAAAATTCTGCCTTGACAACCGCGCTGATTGGTAGATATATGTTATATGAAACAAGGTGGTCATTTTGCTTGTGATGCAAAATTTTGCTAAAGTGCAATTAGTAAGTAGATATTTAAATGCTTTTATACATTTTTCTTATTAATTCTACATGCAGGGGTGACATGGTGGCGGAGTGGGTAGTGCTGTCACCTCACAGCAAGAAGGTCACTGGTTCGAGTCCCGGCTGAGACAGTTGGTGTTTCTGTGTGGAGTTTGCATGTTTTCCCCGTGTTGGCATGGGTTTCCTCCGGGTGCTCTGGTTTCAAAGGGGAGTTGGGTTAGCTAAATTGTCAGAATTATATTAGTGTATGTCCTGGTCCTCCAGGTTGGGGGTTGAGCACTGGGCTAACGACCCACCTTGTAAAAATTAGATGTTACGAAACACCAATCTGATGTAAATATCAACTTCGATATAAACAACCCTGGGAGTTACGGCCTACTCACACTATGTCATCCGTACCGTGCCCAGGCCCGTTTCCTGGATCGTTTGAGAAGCGTGAGTGCACTGAATCGGGCTCAGGCACGGTTCACTTGGGCTTTGGCGCGGTACACTTGTAGTGTGAGTGCAAAACATGCCAAAGCCCGAAACTGAAAGCGAGACGTGACTTTTAAGGGGCTGTTTCATATGGATTTATTCATCATTCGAACTGTTCAGTGAACGCAAACTGCCGTAGCTTATTAAAGATGAAAACCTCTCACTGCATGACAGCTGCACACCTACAGCAGACCTCCTCACTCCTGCAGCACGAGGGCTTTATGATTGTTTATGAGCGCCAAAAGTGGCGGATCTGTTCTGCGAAATATCTGACTGTGTGCCACCGCATCCCTAAGGACTGTTTGGTGAAATATTTGACTGCATATCAAACGACTGAAACAATATAACTAGAGAAATCTCCACTGTGCTGCTGAGTGAAAGAGCACTTCTCACTGAACAGCGCAGCAGCGATGACGTAAGCGTGCCCAGGCCCGATTGTGGTGTGAGTGCGGGCCATCGGGGGAGACGGGAAGGGGGACAAGCATGCTTTGGCCCGGTTCGAGGCAACTGTACCTAGTGTGAGTACAGCCTAACTCAGTCAGAGAAGACTTAAAAATTGGAAAGTGTAGCCTATTAGCTATTTTAGGTTATCTGTACTTAAACATTTAAGTGAACTGTAATTAAACTTTTAGGTTAATTCAATGAAGAGACCACATTTGGTCAACTCAGTTAATTGAGTTGTAGATTTCCCATTACTCAAACAATCTGAGGGAATCGGATTCCTCAAATAATTTAAGTAGTCTCAACTTAGAGTTTACAGTGAACTTTTAACCCTAATATGTAAAAAAAAAAAAAGTGACTTTTATTGTCTTGTGTAATAGTCTGCAGTGCTATATTGTCTGGGTTGGTGTTGTATATAACGCTACAGAAGCCTTGTAATAAACTGCAGCACATTTTCTGATATTTTACAGATTTATTCTCTAGGTATTACCTGATATACATTATATTATTATTTTAAAAGACTAAAATGTCCATAAAAGTCATTTTGTTAAACTGTAGAGTTGAATATTTAACATCAAAAGTGGACACAGTAGAGATCAACATCCCATAATGCAATTCACAACCAGAAATAAACCGAAACAGAAACTGTTCATTAGCACAGGGGTTCCCAAACTTACTAGCTTGCGACCCCCAAAATAACAATGCTAGTGACTCGCAACCCCCAATATCCTCTGAGGTGGTTATATATACAGAAACCTTGCATGCAATAGCGCACACACACCAATAGACCCAAGTTTATTCTTAGTTTAATCTTTTTTTAATGTAAATCAGAGCTGTAAATGTGCCAGAAAGTTTAACCTGATGTTATAAAATCAATCTGCTGCATCTGACGCCATTGGTGTTTCTTTAAAATTATGTAATTACCCCAGGGGTCGCAATCCAATAGAACTAGTAACTATAAGCTACTGTAGTAACTATATAGTATATATTCACTATAAACAACAATTTTTCTTTTCAGTAGTTTTTTGATAAAGTATGGTAATTCTTATGGTTTAATATAAATAAATAGATTTTTGGAAATCACCAGGCGAACCCCCTTCATTGTCCCGTGACCCCTTGGGGGGTCCCGACCCCCACTTTGAGAACCACTGCATTAGCAGATGTTTGAACAGTATATATTTAAGCCTTGTTTCCTTTTTTTTAAACACTACTCTAATAGAAATCTGCATAACAGTGTATAATAATGCTCCATTAGTTCATCAGGCTTCATGAAAGGAGGATTCAATACCTGGAAATTACTCAAATACAAACATAAGGTCATTGAAAGTGCTTGAATTCAACTTTAAATTGGTTTATGGTGTTACTTTTACAGTGTATTGTAATGTTGAATCACCGTATCTTCATGCATTCATCTTTCTGCACAGGGAAATGTTTCAGTCAGGTCTTCATTATTATGTAGGTATTGTATTTTCTATTATTTCACATGTGTGTTATATTTATTTGATCTTTTATTTACACTAAAAATATCTGCAAATTAGCAGTTTTCTGTATTTTGTGATTCATGTTTTTATTTTTCCCTGTTTGTTTATGCTTTTGAATTGCATTATGGGAGCTTGATCTTTCTTTTACAAAATTGTAACCTTAAAATGTTTTTAAAAAGGGACTTTTATTGTCATTTGTAATAGTCTGCAGTGCTATCTTGTCTGAGTTGGTGTTGCATATTACACTACAAACACCTTGTAATAAACTGCCAGTGCACTTTTCTGACTTATTTCTCTAGATATTATTTATTATAGATGATGTTATTATTTCAAACAACTAAAATGTCAATAAAAGTCACTTTGTTAAACTGTAGAGTTGAATTTTCAACATCAAAAGTCGACAAAGCAGAGATCAACATCCCATAATGCAATTCACACCTGCAAAAAAACCCAAAACACAGAAACTGATCATTAACAAATATTATTTAGAGGATATATTTAAGCTTTGTGTCCTTTTTTAAACACTACTATATTAGAAATCTGCATAACAGTGTATAATAATGCTCCATTAGTTCATCAGGCTTCATGAAAGGAGGATTCAATACCTGGAAAGTACTCAAATACAAACATAAGGTCATTGAAAGTGCTTGAATTCAACTTTAAATTGGTTTATGGTGTTACTTCAACAGTGTATTTGCATGTTGAATCACCGTATCTTCATGCATTCATCTTTCTGCACAGGGAAATGTTTCTCCAACTCTTTGCTGAGAGCGTGTCGTCGGCCTGCCCATGTGAAGTGAGTGGGCTGTGCTGCTGTGCCATCCTGTCCTGTGTCGTACCCAAAATGTGCGCTGATCTCAATGGCCAGAGCTGATCTTAGCAGACCCGCTCCTCCAGTCCGCTCCGGCCCGGGATGGTAAACTCTACCGCTGTCTGGATGCATGAAGAGGGATTGTGGGCGGAATGGAACGCTCAGCTTAGCTCCGCCCCCACAGTATGAGAGACGGTCCTCAAGCCCCACCTCTGAGAACAGGTGAGTGAAAACTATGGGCTGATCCTCGCAACGCAGGAAGTTGCGCTCGCGTCCGCAGAGCGAGACAAACGGGAAGTCCTGCTGATAGCGGCCGCTCTGGTTCACTTTCAGACGGCTGAAGAAGAAAACTAAGAAGTGCTGGTCTATGAAAGAGAGAGAATTCGTAGAATCTTTATTTAGAGTGGAGCTATCATGCAGAAATCACTTTAATAAGGGCTTTGAACAGTTGTGTGGTGAATATAGCCAGCGTCTAATAGTAAAAATAAATTATTCGATTGTTTATAATCAGAATAGATAAAAAAAGAAACTTTGATTGACATTCTTCCTTTGTAAGAGTCATCAGAGAAGGAAAGCCGCGCCCACTAGTGACCATCTTATATCACGTTAGTCTTGTTTTCAATCTGCCACTATGCTGATGCACAGGCATTCGTAGCTCCGCCCTCTTCTGAAAAGAGCACAATCTTATTTAAATTTAAAGGGATGGATGGATCCGCTTATTAAGTGGTGACGTGTTTGTGACGTATGTAATACTGTTTCCGGGTCCAAGCCGCCACTCATTTGAGTGGAGAAATCATTCGTTTATGATCACGTTTTATTCCTATCACACATTAAAGTTAATTTTATATCAAATCATAGTGTACACAACAATCTCTGGGCTTGCTGCATCACAAATACCAAAAATGTAACAATTTATAAAAAAATTAATCACTTTCTGGCCATCGGATATTAGGCATGGACATATATACTGTGATCGTGATTTTCGAAAGCATTAAATCGCTTTGTAAACGTTTATTATCATTCCTGAGTCTCCCCATTCAGTTGAATAGAGCGCTTGGACCCGGAAGCTGCTTCGCGTGACGTCACACTTAACAAGCGGATAATATCCTATTTGACTGGCTGACTGACTGACTGACTGACTGACTGACTGACACACACACACACACACACACAAACACACGCACACACACGCACACACCCTCTAGCCAAATCAGAGACATTTACATCTTGTAGAAAGGGGCATAATAGGTCACTTTTAAAGTGTTTTGCAACCAGGGCCGGATTGGGACTCCTTTTTAGCTCTGGAGTTTCAAGCCTTAGACCAGCCCACCTCAGTCGACGACTGACTACATTAAAATAACGTCATTTCCATTTCAGTTTCTAATGACACTAACACGTCTTTTTCAAGGACACAGCTGCTTTAGAACTTCAAATGTTATTTCATAAATATAAGAACATTAATTCTTTATACATATCCAGTCCTTTGTAACGGTCATCACACAAACACAAAAAAAAAAAAAATGTACCCCTACGCAAGTAACCCAAACAGTATTATATGTCTTAACACTGAAAATGAAAAAAAAATAAAATTCTCTGGTGAGATTCGAACTTGGATTGGCGGCATCGTAACACAACTTGCTAACTACTAGACCAGGGGTTTTCAAAGTCTAAGACAGTGGGCCTCACTTTTGACACAACTTATCCATTGGCGCCCCCCTCCTCCCAAACACGCACACACACACACACACATACATACATACATACATACATACACACACACACACACACATACACACACACACACACACACACACACACACACACACACACACACACACACACACACACACACACACACACACACACACACATATATATATATATATATATATATATATATATATATATATATATATACAGTATATATAAAGACACAGACAGGTGTCAGACTGTTAACTCACTTTTATCAACATTTGCATGAAAGTGCAATTATTTACAGAGTAATAACAAGTATTTTAATATAACTTTTTTAAAACTAGGATGATGGTTAATATGAATAGAACAGTTCTAAGAACTCTTCATCCCAGTCAAAACAGTCGAAGTTTAGCGGGTCTCATGCTGTCATTAGCCAAAATATCTTGACAAACCACACTTAAAGGTCGTGGTTCATCAGCTGGTCCTGTCCACGTAAATCCTAAACTCAAATACTGATCATCATATCGTCGTCTTTTGGGTTTAAGCCCTGAACTTGAAGTCTTTGAATCGGGGGTCTCAGAAACCGATCCATTGCAGGCACGTGCACACATAGGGCTCAACCTGTGCAGTGCACATGCCCTTTTTAGTCCTGGATAGAAAGTGCCCTTCCAAAATGATCAAAAGTGCCCCCGCGACGCGGCACACCCTCGGTCCCGCCCTTCAGTAGGCGCGCGACAACACCGCTCTTGAGCGTGCGCGCGACAACACAGCTGATCAGAACGCGCGCGACAATAAACTTAATTAAACTTAATAATTATATTTTTATTATATATTTTTCCCGCGCCTCCCCTGACATGCTCTGGCGCCCCCCATGGGAGGCGCGCCTCACACTTTGAAAACCCCTGTACTAGACCAAGTTGGCACTCTTAAGATGATGTGTTCGGGATAAAGAATAAGTATTGCACTGTTATCTGCTGCTATTGATGTCTACTCTTTTTCTAACCTTTTTAGATTTCTGATCAAGTTATGTCAGATTTATTAATGTAGTAAATCATCTGATTTTCATTGAGCAGGTGTAATCAAGTGTGCTGCAAGCCTGTGTTTGAGTGAAGGTCTCGGCCGTTAGATCGCCCCCTGGGGGCTGGCTGCAGTACAAGTCATAAAGCCCGCCTCCTCCGTGTTAATGAAGGAGACTTGAGCCCAAATAAAAAAAATTATTACACTTGCAATAAAATGTCCTGAAAGATGGTTCAGGTCGATTAAGGCACTGGTTATTGTGCTGAAATAGGTGCAGATCTTCATTTTTGTAAACAGTTTGTTTTTAGCAGTAATTTAATGCTGGGCGTGTCATCGTGATTGACAGCTGTGATTGACAGTTTCTCAAAGCAGCGCGTCTGAGCTTCGGCAGGAGACTGAAGTGTTATTATTCGATTTCTGTGTTATTTTACCATGACAAAATGAGTTCAGCAGTAAACTACAGTTTCTGACATACATGATCTGGTGGAACACTGTTTATTCGCTAAGATCAGGGCTTTTTTCGGGCTTTATTAGTTTGCTGATACACGCCTAACCACCCAGATAGCAAAATACACTCGGGCCAGTTCCGGCTAGATTCTCGCCTGCCGGAGACTTACCCCTCAGAGCTCAGACTGACTACCTCTGCTGGACCTACTCCGGATGCCTGGACTCACTGCGCGATTCCAGCCCGAGTCAATCGAGCCAGATGCGGCGGCCGAGCGAGCCGGAATCAGCCCGCGACGCCGCGAGTAGGTTATGCGCTGCGGCCCGGAGCTGGCGCGATTGAATATATAAAACCCTCATATTTGTTAACGTTATTACATCCATTTGTGTTGATATGACAGCAAACGCATGCTGAGAAGTTCGGGGGGCGTGGTTTATTTTACATAAAGCGTTTGGTTGGAAGCTCGACTCCGCTCATTATCGCGGCTCCTCCTCTGGCTCCATCAGACAGTCCTTCTGCGCATGTCAAGGCTCCAATTTCAGCAGTCTTTTGCGACAGTTTGTGCCCGTCAAGCAGGCGTTTTGCCCTCATGGCGTTCAATGGGAAAAGGGGCTGTCGCTTCGTCCATATTTTTTACAGTCATTGGGTGTAATATTCATTATTATTAATTAATATTCACTAAGGTGCCGCTGTTTGGGGTGGAATGTTACGTTATCATTACCCTGCAGGCTGCATTTTGCTCAAAGGGCTGCGAGAAAATAAATAAAAAGAGCTGAGCTGCGGCAAAATAATGAATAAAATAGTGTGGCTATGGTCAAATAAATAAATAAATGAAAAAAGTGCAACTGCTGAGAATGCAAGCAGCTAGGGACACCGGCCCTCTCAGCCAAAAAACGGACCAGTCCACTGGGAATTCTCCCGGTGCTCCCGATTAGCCAATCCGGGCCTGTTTGCAATGACTTTACTTTTCTGTAATTTCTGTAATGACTTTTCTTTAATTTACATCCATCCATCCATCCATCTATCTATCTGTCCGTCAAATAGTATATGATTAGGATCCATCCACTATCCGTCCATCCATCCAACATACTGATGTGTCCTTTCTAGACCGTGGTATACAGTTTGAATTAAAGTTTGTTTTATATTAACACAGTTCTCTTTAATGATGTAATGTTGCACAAGTATTCTTTGCTAATCTAAATGGTGAAATGGTATAAGCAGCCAATGACTATCATTGAGGTAAAGTTGGTTTTATATTCGGACATTCAGACATTATGCTTATTAATATAATTTCAGAAAAGTATTATTTGCAAATTCTAAATAGGGAAATCATATTTGCAGCAAATGATTATCAAAGTACAGCATTGTGCACAGTGAATTAGATGGGGTTAATGTTGTTTAGAAGGCATACTTGCATGCTGATTTTGACCGAATGTTCAAAGTAACACTGTAAACAATATAGAGACTGCTGAATGAACAAATGTGTGAACAAAAAACCAACTTTACCTCTATATGACTATCAATGTACAACAGTCGATTAAACAGTGCTAATGTTGTTTCAGGTCATGCTTGCATGTGATTTTACACCGAATATTCAAATTAGCATGGTAAACAACACTTCACTGAACGAATGTGCGAATATAAAACCAACTTTACCTCAATGTATACAGTGCAGATATAGAAATACCTTTGAAACAGGTGACAAAGTTCTTCACCTTGGTGTCATCCAGAAAGAGCTTAATGGGAGAAGACAATAAACATTAGAGAAAGACTTGAAAGTAAACATGACAGGAATGGCATTAAGGTAGTACCTTCAGGTTTTTTATTTATTTATTTATTTTACAAAATAACTAACTTTGACGAATGCATGATTGTTTTTTGAATTGTAAAACTGGCTATTATACACTCGATAATGCTTTGAAGTTGATCATTTTTCTTGGGAGATTTCACATACACAAGGCAAAAGTAATGTCTATTACTCCCTCTCTTGATTTTTTTCTTCTGTAAAGTGATAAAAATAATTCTTTGATCTTAATTACAAAAAAAAACAAGAAGACTTTATAAACTTTTCTAATAATGAAAAAAATGATCTATACAATCTTATAATTTAATTATGATGGATCCCCTCATATATATAATTTAGTATTTTTTAATTTAATATATGTTCTCCTTCACAAAGTTTTGTATGACTGTTAACGTTACATTTGTTATCATGTAATCCTGTCAGTTATATGCTTCAATAAAAAAATGTCAAAAAAGGTTGTGACGTTACCTGTCCTTGATGATCGATATAGTAGAAATACTCTCTAATTCTCGCTTCTGGACTCTGTCCTTGTGTGTATGAGGACACATTCCTGCAAAACAACCCACACTGACGACTAAATATCCGTTTAACAAACCTCATTGCTGCTTTAGTTACAGCAAAACCCGTTCACTGTTATTAAAAAACATTACTGTGCAAGATTCCGCGTAAATCTGTTTTGTTTATATTATGTAGCGGTTTGTTCTGTCCGCCGGAAACAAACGCAGCGCACAATCAGTTCCGCTTTCCTGACATTGAATCTCCGTGATTTTATTGTACAATCGGGTTGAAATGTGCGTGTGTTGGTGTTGAATCGATGCACTATGTTTCTGAGCTCTAAAAATCTGGTAAGACCTATTTTTTGTTATATAGGAAGTCGTATTATTATAAAAGCAGCAGTGGCGCATTTGGATGTATTTCAAGTGATCGCTAGATGGCGCTGTCCTTTATTTAATTAGACTACTAGACATGCTTATTTATTACTTGCAACATATTTAAAATGGCATAATGAGCAAAAAGAGATTCAAGTATATTGATATAGTAGATATTGACTTTATCAGTTGCTTTACGTTTGCAGAGTTTATTTTAAGTAGAAATGAAATCAAAAGTAACCACACGGTTCTGTTTGCTCGCATTGAGAGTTTTGTGGTGAACAATTCATCTGTTTTTTTTTAATTCTTAACAAAAGTAGCATTTTATTGTAATTTTGAATGATAATAATGGAATAACAAAATAAGGTATATTGATTTTTGATAAGCTTTTTGAATAGCTTTTTACAAATATGTGAAGTAGTTATTGATTATTTAAATAAATATAAAAATTGTTTGTAGCTTTTCTTGATGGATGTTTTGCGTTGTTCTTTTACCACTATGTTCAGTGTTTTATTTGTTTTGCACCATATTTAATGTTTGGCGATGGATGGATAGAAAGACAGACAGACAGACAGACAGACAGATAGATAGATAGATAGATAGATAGATAGATAGATAGATAGATAGATAGATAGATGGATGGATGGATGGATGGATGGATGGATGGATGGATGGATGGATGGATGGATGGATGGATC